TATTAAGTTGTCATGTTCAATAACAACTGATGACTGATACACCAAAGGGATTGTGCTTTTGTGTTAGTGTGCCCTCAATTTAGGTTCAAATTGGTTTGATGTCAGGAGGGCAATAAGTGAACTAAGTCACCTCACAGGTGAAATGAGAATGATCATACTCTTTCACAGAAATTAAGATGAGAAAATGATGGAATTGTTATGGTCCTGGATCATCTTGACCCTGCGTTCTCAGTTTTCTTGTGATTCTGTATGGTTCCTAGGTTGTTCTGTTTAGTTTCGTTTATTAGATTCCCCCTTTCATCTTTGCCCTCTGTCTCCCTCTGTGTGTCTGTTTATTTAATTGTGAGTTCTTATGCCTTGTTTCCCCTCCTTGTGTTTCGCCAGCCCATCAGGTCTGTGCTCTCTCCGTGTTCACTCTCCCCCTCGTGTCTGCATCTCTGTCTTCCTGTTTTACTTTGATAGTCTCCCGTCAGTGTACGTTGCGTTGTGTTTGCTCCTGCCCTATCTTGGGTTCCCCGTGTGCTCCCACGTCCCTCGTTTCCTTGAGTGTATTTATGTCCGGGTCTCCCTCATTTCTGTGTCCCGTCCTCCCTCTTGGCTGTGTTTCCTGATGTGTCTCTTTGCATTATTAGTTATTCATTTTCCAGTTTAGTTTTGTACCATCTTTTTCCCCATTCAGCGAATATTGCTGCATTTTGGGTCGAAATCCAGTGTTCCGCCTGCACACAGCCAATTTATGAAAGGAATGGTAACATTTTATAAACTACAAGACAGATGTCAACTTTACTGTGACGTCAAAATGTTCTGCAAAAACCCAAATTTCTTAAGAACAGAAAGAGCAGTTGTGACCTTTTGTGACACAGACACTGAATTCCTTCAAAGTCTTCGGTTTAAATTATATTTGTTTTTGTCTGTGGACAGACATGGATGCAATGTCATGAACTGTCTGTGTGGAGGCCGATGAGGACCCAAACGCAAAACTCACGGAGACAGGAACTGAACTCAAAATCACTGCTTTATTGCAGGCCTTAACACGAAACAGAACTAAAC